ACGTATGACTGTTCGGATTTGATTATCGCTAATCGCTGTCCATGCAATCATATTTCAGCAGTCCTCTGCATAGCCTCCACAGTGGCACGTTGTCTTATTGAAAGTCCAGGTCAATGACTTATTTTCTCCTCAAGATTGATTCAAATGAAACGTAGAATGGGATATCTCTTTGGTTAGATTGGGTGAGCCCTCGTCTCGTTAGAAGCTCGATTAAACCCCTTTCACCGACTCACAGTTTGCTTCGCAGATTGTCAGGGAGTAATGATTTCATCCACTGCGTGACGGGGAGAGGAAAACAGTACAGGTAGTCCTGAAGTTTCTGCCCTAAAACTCCGTGATTCTGTTTATAGAGGTTAAATCTGCATAAACGTTATCTGGTTGAAAGAAATGCCTCGGCAGTTCACGCGTCCACTTTACCGCTTTCCTGAGCACAACGGTCACACCGAAGGCGGGCAGCGGGCAGCCTTTTGTTGCCCTTCCTGAATTACATGCACCGTGGCACACACCCATCTTAGATTAATGCCTTTGACATCCCAGGTCAGATATCATTTTATTCTCCTTTCTTCTTCCTCATTCTTATATGCAGGGGTGTTATGTTAAAAACGTTGTTTTTGTTAATCTGACTGGAAGCTTATTCATTTAAGCTTTTTGTCCTTTGAAGTTGTATATAAGACTCATTGACTAAACACAGGTTAAGCTCGTTTACATACAAACAATTTCGTGTTTCAGACGCCCAGCGTCTAAAGCCAACCACTGTTCAGCTGCCTCGAATGACCGGTAAGATGAAGTTTAATGTTTTACATGTGGAAGTGTTTTGTACTGAGAAATTTAAGCGTCCAGTGCATTTAGAAAGATTTTTTGTTGTTCAAATTGAACATGTATGTGTGGAAATATAACTGTCTAATCAGATGTGGAATATCAAAAGAATTGTATTTTTACAGTTTAAATGTACAAGATCAGAAATATACATATGTATAGAGGGATACGTTGATTAATTACATTTTTGAATAACAATTATTCCTTTTCTTTTCTTGATTCATGATTGAAAGCAGCAGGTGACTAGAACGATGCATAAAGTTTTATTGGCCTCTCCTAATCGTTTCATGCGCACCAGCGTTCAAGGTAAGATCAAGTCAGAAGTATAAACTGTGATAACTTATATAGCACTTTCCAGTTACGACGCTAGAATATCTAGGGAAAAATACAGTTCGAAAGTTAAACCTTACGTGACCTTTATAATTGCTGCCTTAAAACATGTTTCCATTTTCGTAATTCACAGGAGCTCGTTTGCGTCATAGAATGTTTTCCTTATATTCCATTATGAGTTCTTGGATAAATAGTCTATCAAATTAATCTGATTTGTGGCATTTTCTGTGCGATTTCTTAATTCTACTGAGGGATGACGCAAGGATGATTTTAGCATTGGGAAGCAGTTAGAAGTAAATAGATTTGGGATAAGATTTTCTTGTCGATTAACGATGTGACAAGTCTCCTCCTTCAGCAGTGCATCGCGTTTCTGTATAAGTCGTATGAAACTGATGGTTATAGACAGAGCTTAAGGAATGATGGCAAAATCTTCATTTCGAAAACATGACCCCGATGTTCTGTGGTAGGCTCCACGAGCGGGAACTTTCGATAGGAGAATTTTCATTTTCTGGTAACGTTTAAGTCAGGTAGCGCATAACTCCTTGAAGACCAAATTTCATTGCGCATTGCCCTGTCACTTGCTGCTAATTGCCTGGCCTCCTAGTCATTCGTTATTTGACTGTGAATTATAGTACATTATGGTAATTGTTGATGGCTGAGAAACTCTATTATTACATAGCCATCATTGCAACTAGTAAATTTTGATGGCCGAAAATATTGCATAACG